TCTCATGGGCTTCCCTTTGTGGGTAACCCGACCTTTCTCTCTGGCTGCCCTTGGCATTTTCTCTTTCATTTGAACCCTGGTGAATCTGATGATTATATGCCTTGGGGTTGCTCTTCTTGAGGAATATCTTTGTGGTGTTCTCTGTGTTTCCTGGACTTGAATATTGGCCTGCCTTGCTAGTTTGGGGAAGTTTTCCTGGATAATATCCTGAAGAGTATTTTCCAGCTTGGATTCATTCTCTTTGTCACACTCAGGCACACCTATCAAACGTACATTAGGTCTTTTCAAATTGTCCCACATTTCTTGGAGACTTTGTTCATTCCTTTTTACCCTTTTTTCTCTATTCTTGCCTTCTCATTTTATTTCATTGAGTTGATCTTCTATCTTTGATATTCTTTCTTCTGCTTGGTCAATTCGGCTGTTGAAACTTGTGCATGGTTTGGGAAGTCTCGTGTTGTGTTTTTCAGCTCCATCAATTCCCTTATATTCCTTTCTATTTTGTCCATTCTCGTTAGCATTTTGTCAAATCTTTTTTCAAGTTCTTAGTTTCTTTGCATTGCATTAGAACATGTTCTTTTAGCTCACAGAAGTTTCTTATTACCCACCTTCTGAAGCCTGATTCTGTCATTTCATCACATTCATTCTCCATCCAACCTTGTTCCCTTGCTGGTGAGGAGTTGTGATCTCTTGGAGGAGGAGAGGTGTTCTGGTTTTGGGTGTTTTCATCCTTTTTGTGCTGGTTTCTTCCCATCTTTGTGGATTTATCCACCTGTTGTCTTTGTAGTTGCTGACTTTCAGATTGGGTCTCTGAGTGGATGTCCAGTTTGTTGATGATGAAGTGATTTCTGTTTCTTAGTTTTCCTTCTAACAGTCTGGCCCCTCTGCTGTAGGACTGCTGAGGTCCACTCCAGTCCCTGCTTGCCTGGGGATCACCTGCAGCAATTACAGAACAGTAAGGGTTGCTACCAGTTACTTCTTCTGCTTTGTCCCAGAAGGATACCCGCCAAATCAGTCTGATATCTCCTTTATGAGGTGACTCTTAGGATATACGGGGGTCAGGAAGCTGCTTGAGCAGACACTCTGTCCTTTATAGGAGCTCAAATGCTGAGCTGTGAGCTCTATTGTTCATTCAGAGCTGCTAGGCAGGTACATTTAGGTCTGCTGCAGCAGAACTCATAAACTCCCCCCTTTTTTTTCCCCAGGTGCTCTGTCCCAGGGAGTTAGGGCTTTATTTATGAGTTTCCATTGTGCTGCTGCCTTTTTTTTCAGGGCTTTCCTGCCCAGCATTGAGGCAGCCTAGTCACTGTCTGCCTGCAGAGGCTTTGCTGAGCTGCTGTGGGCTCTGCCCTGCTGCCATGTGAACTTCCCTGCAGTCCTGTTTATATGGGTGTAGTTAGAACTGCCTTGGCAATGGTGGCCCACCTCTGCAATCGCAGACTCTCTCTGTAATGGCAGGTTGCCTCAGCAATGGCGGGGTGCCTCAGCAATGGCGGACTACCTCCGTAGTGGTGGAGTGCCTTGGTAATGGTGGACGCCCCTCCCCCACAGAGCTTGACTGTCCTGGGTTCAACTGTGCTTGCTGTGAAACTCTCAATCCAGGGCATTTCCAATTGCTGGTTTTTTTTGGTTTTTTTTGTGGGGGTGGGACCAGCCAAGACTGATCGCCTGGCTCCCTGCCTCAGAGCCTTTTTTTTTTTTTTTAGTTGAATGGTCGACTCTCTCCCAGGTGTTCCAGTTGCCTGTTGAAAAGGTGCCGGGATCTGTGTGATTTCCTGTGCAGGGAGTTCCAANTTAGTTGAATGGTCGACTCTCTCCCAGGTGTTCCAGTTGCCTGTTGAAAAGGTGCCGGGATCTGTGTGATTTCCTGTGCAGGGAGTTCCAATCGCCAGCTAAAAGGGTACCTGGTCCAGTGTATTTTGTATGGAGAAACTGCCGCTCAGGAAAGCAGCTGCGCTGGCCAAAACAGCTGCGCCAGCAAAAACAGTCATGCTGGCAATCCATGGGGCTCCTCCACCTGGGAATCTCCTGGTCTGTGGGCAATAAAAATCTGTCTGGAAATGCGCCATCCACTCACCCTCTGCACATTCACTGGGACCTGCAATCCTGAGCTGTTCCTGGTCAGCCATCTTTGATCTAATCTCGAGTTTCTGATTCTTTAAGTCTGGCGCAGGGCCTGAGAAATTCCTGGTGGTGGTGTTCCACACTTAGGAAAATCTGATGTTCTTATCTTGTTAATTCCACATAGGTTTTTGTGCTCACTGGGACTTTTAACTTACTTTAGGAAACCAAGCTCATTCTGCAGTTATTACATATCTCTTTCTAAAACTTAAATCAGCTACTTAAACTTCAGTGACTCTTTCTCTAACAAAGTCAGGTGGCTCTTATTCCATAGCAGTAAGTGACACATGCCCCATTGTTGGGTTGGAGATAAGACCTTAAGGCTATAAAAGATGAAATTTTATATGGGAGAGGTGGGAAGAAAAGGTAAAGAAATCTATCATTTGATACCTTGAGCTATTTTCCCACTGTTGTAAAAATCTCAAGCTTTGTGGTGTCATAAAGTGTATGTGGCTTTGTCATGGTTCTCCATTAAACTGAAGGATATTTGATGACTGTACATGTAAAACATTACAAGAAACTGTGGTCTACATTATCAACCCTACCATCATTTTTGTAACTTCATTGCATTGTATACATTATCTTTTATATAAAGATGTGGAGTAGATTTAAGAAGTAAGTTTCTTCACTATGAAGTAATTATTTAGAGGGTGACTTTGAAAAAGTTTAATCCTTCCATTGGCATGCATAGCAGATAATAAGAATTATAATGGCTACCATTATGGAGTCATTACCATCTACCAGGTACTTGCCAAGCACTTCACTTGAGTTAGCTCCCTTAATAAAGGCATATTGAAACACATGAGTAAGTCAAACCCTCATGCAAGGAATTGAAATGAGCATGGTTATGACTTGGGAGAAGGTGCCTACATGTATTAAAAATCTTTACCTAAATTTTCTCTGGTCCCTGGGAGCAAGTTGCAGTCTTTTTTTTTTTCCCCTCTTGTGCTCAATCACCCTGTTTTTGAGGTCTGTTTTCTCTACACTATGGTTCTCAACTTATTTTGGGGGAAATATCTTGAGCAGAATACAATGGGAAAAGAGTGTCTACCACTTTCTGTTCAAAATTCATTTTTATCCCTTCCTGTCTGAACAAAAACTCCATGGAATCAACACCACCAAGCTCTGTGGGGAAAAAAGAAAAACCTGCTCCCTTCACTCTGCTGGAAGCTGGAGGATGGTAGGCCCCTGTGTAGTAATGCATAGAATTCTAGCTTTTTTCCTCCTTTCTCTGGATATTAGGCTCAGAGAGTATACTGTATCTCTATGTGAATATGGACAGTTAGCATTTACCAACATGTATCTGTCTACTTTCCCTTGTTTAAAAAAAGAAAAAAAAAAAAACCTTTAAAAAAATGGGGCTATAGAAGGTCAGCAAAGGGTGAGTTTGAGATGCTTGGGTGGGTTAAGTGCGCATTTTGACAACATGGCTTTTCTCTTGGTGTGTTTAATTGTGATGTTTGACAGACATCCTTGCAGTTTAATATGACACTTTTAAAATAAATTCTCTCCTAATGATGACTTGAGCCCAGCCACTCAATCAGCAGAACCTGAGGGATCTTATTTGGAATTGACATTCTCTATTCAAATTTTGTTCCTGTTCATTTTTAAATTTTTTTTTGTTTCACTGGAAAGGAAAGATGATGCTCAGTTTTAAATATTGAAAGTGTACAAGTTGCTTGTTACAATAAAACTAAATGTGTACACACACACAAAAAACTTTACCTTTGAAAAAGGTATACTGAAATATAATTTCAGTAACTTTACTTTTCCTGAAGAAACAGTCTTAAAAAAAAAATGGAATAATTAGTCTCCAAGTAGAAGTGATGGTATATTGGTGGCAGTAGAGGGTTTCTTCCCTCAGACACTTTTTCAGCTAGAGATCTTGATATGGTAAATTAATGGATAATTTATTCAAACTTTTTAACATCATTTTGAAGTATATCAAGTATACAGAACTTTTTACAAAATGAACACCCATGTAACCAACACCCAGTTCGAGAAACAAAATACTTGTACCCAACAGCCACTCTCGTGCCTCTTCCAGTCACCACTCCCCTAAAAGTAATCAGCATTCTGATTTCTAATGCAATAGTTGAGTTTTGCCAATTTTTAAACTGATAAATCCTTTTTAACTTTGGTTTCATAATTCTGATTTAATAAAAGATGAAAATCTGAGACATGACCCAGTGAGATCATAATCTGGCAATTTTGAGCAGTGAAATATAGACCAGAAGCTACTTTGTCACAGACATAATTCTTTTTAATGTGTTCATAACATCACTGTGAAATTAAAATAAGCTTTATTTTCATTTAAAGCATATTTCATTAAAATATTTTTGTTTTCATTTTTCCTCCTCAACCTAAAAAAGCCTTTGCTGATATTTGGTAAGGTCTCCAATGACACTTTATGGCCAAAAGAAAGGGGCAGGATACATGATTGAGAGCTCCTCGTTACATAGATCAGAAAGCACGATGTGGCTTCCCTGGTAGGGAGATTGCAGAGGCAATCGAACAGGGGACTGTTGCCTTGCTGAACTGAATGGTCCATGTTAGTAGGACCAGGTGTTGGTAGGGTGGTTTCCCCATGCTATTCTCATGATAGTGAGTTCTCAAAAGATCTGATGGTTAAAAAGTATGTGGCTTCCTTTGCTCTCTCTCTCTGTCTCCTGCTTTGCTGTGATAAGACATGTTTGCTTCCTCTTTGCCTTCAGCCATGATTGTAAGTTTCCTGAGGCCTCCCCAGCCATGTGGAACTGTGAGTCAATTAAACCTCTTTTCTTCATAAATTACCCAGTCTCAGGTAGTCCTTTATAGCAGTGTGAGAACCAACTAATACAAACGGTTTTCATGTCAAACTTTTTCTGTTCTTCTGTCTCCAGGAGGAATAATCCATTCTCCTGGACTATTATTGCTGGGGACCATGACAGAACCCTGAAGGAATCAACTGAGCAGGTAAAAAGAATGTTTTTATAGGTCATTCTGCCTGTACTCTAAGTGTTCTCACATGCCAAGCAATACCTTTAGCTAAAATATGTAATTAGTTAATCTCCCAGGACGCTTTTACACTTATTGTTTTTATCCACATTTAAAGATGCAACTGGAGATTACACTTTCACTTGAGAATTACACAAAGTAGGTCAGAATTGCAAATTTACGCCCATGGACACAGGTTTCCAAAGCTTTGTTTCTCCAGTGCCACTATTATCCAGAAGGTGGTTCAAAGCCTCCTGCAAATTATAAATCAGGATTGCTCTTTTATAATACAAAGTCTTCTTTGTTGCTGATGTATGTAAGTGCAGAGATTTAGAATTATTTTGTACCATCAACAAGGAAGTAGCTGGGTTCTTGGACTTTCTCATCTTGGAATTTGCTTGCTTGCCACTGATGCAGGTGAGAAGGGCCAAACACATAATAGTGCATGAAGACTTCAACGTACTAAGTTATGACTCTGACATTGCCCTAGTACAGCTAAGCTCTCCTCTAGAGTACAACTCGGCAGTGAGGCCAATATGTCTCCCAGACAGCACAGAGCCTCCGTTTTCCTCCAAGATCTGTGCTGTCACCGGTTGGGGAAGCATCAGCAGAGGTAAGCATTTTTTGTCGCCCAAACATTAATGCCAGTTATTTTTGAAACTAAGTCATGTAAATAATATTAAGCAGCATCCGCTTCATCCCCTCTTCTTTCTAGAAGATAGAGACAATGTTTTATTTAGCTATAATAGATAAGCAAATAAATTGAGAATGAGTTGTTTAAAACTTTTCCTTCAGGGTAACTTGGATTATAAGTAGGCCAGATTAGTGGTCGACAAACCTTTACTGTAATGGGCCAGATAATAATCCTTTTAGGCTTTGCAGGTTATCTGGTCTCTGTCACAACTATTCAACTCTACTGTTACAGCATAAAGCAGCCATTGGCAATATGTAACAGAATGGGTTCCAATAGAACTTTATAAATAAAATTTCATTGTCGTGAAATATCATTCTTTGGATTTTTAAAATGTATAAACCATTCTTATTTCATGGATTGTGCCTGTGTTTGGGGGTGGCACAGAATTTATCCACTGGCTGTCGTGTGCTCACCCCTGGCTATGGTATAGAATTCTTAAAGGCTTAGTAAAACACTGAAAGATATGAATGGTTGACATTTGTCTTTTGCTTCTTATACCATATAAGATTATTTTCTTTATATATTTTCTTTCTATATGTCATGTATTTGGAATCTGTGAGCTTGAATGGGGAGGGAATTTATATTTGACTGCTTACAGTGTTGATATTCATAGCTTACTGTGCTATGTGAAGCCAAATAACACTTTCATAAAAACCTTCACACCCAACAGATGAGGAGCTTTTATCATCCCCATTTTACAAATGAGAAGGTTGCAACCCAAAGATTTAAGTAACTTGCTAAGATCCCGTAACTAACAAATATCAAAGCGAGGATTTAAGATCAGCACATAATCACATAATTTATAATTATGTGATTATAAATCACATGATTTAAAATCAGCTTATAATCATTCCTTAATAGCTTTTCATTATATTTACAATCAAATCTGAACTCCTTAGCCTAGCTTGGAAATCTCTGTGTGATTGGGCCTCTCCACTTACCTCTACCACATAATTTCCCTCTTCTGTTCTTCTGGTTAACCTTCAAATACCGTAGCTTTTCTTCTTTCTCCTTAACACCAAGCTTGTTTTGCTTTCTGAAGTTCCCCATTTTGTGTCCTCCTACTTGGAACATGCTTATTACAATCTTGTCACAGCTGCCTGCTTTTGATCCAAAATATCACTTCCTTTCTTGGCCCATGCTGCTGCAGGAGGATGGGCCTCCCATTGCATTCTGCACTACGTGGTTTTATCCTATCATTGCATGTTAATGTACTTGGCATGATTTCATGCAGTCATCTTCTACATTCGCCCACTAGACTGAGAGCCTCTTGGAGGCTGTCATTGGCCACTCTCTTCCCAGGGCTAGAAGCATACATGCCATTCAGTAAACATTGTTTGGCCTGCTGGTTTCAAAGCCCTTGAATAAATGTGCCTGCTCTCTAACATCTTTGACTTTTATTAATTCCATGACTACCAGGCAACTGAGAGGTGGTTAGTCTTATAAAAGATGGATTTATTCTTTCCAACTAGGAGAGGAAATGAATGTTAATTTTTTGGGATATGGTCAGCCACACTAAGGGAGATGGTCCCTGAGAAGAGGAGTTTTAGTATATTAAGAAGAATGTGAGATTTAGATTTGAACTTAGGCTTGAGCCTAGTTCTGTACCGTAAGAGCTGTGAGATCAAATTTTCAGAGGTCTGGCTTTTTCATATGTGAGATCACTGTGATTAACCTGACCTCACATATGAAAAATGTTGTTATATTACTATATTAGGTTAGAATAAAATTATTCATAAATATTAAGGTACTATATAAATTTAAAGTACTTGTTATTAATACTGCCCTAAAAGGTATAGGGCTATAAAATATTAAACTTAAAAAAATTGGCCATAAATCTAAAATGATAGAATGGTCATGAAAACTACATGTTAACACAGGCCTGCCTAAGGATCAATTATGAAAAGGAATTATTTCATGTTATCATAAACTGGAGGTGCAATTAGGCTTCAATGATGGTAGAAGAAAAACAGGATTATGATTTTTGTTTATATTAGGAAATCATAAGCAAGCAAGTATTTATTTATGTAAATATATAACCATATATTTATAATTGTATGTCATATATAGCACAAATTCATATCTTGCCGAATTTCTCTTCCTGAATTCTTATGCAGAAATATTTGATATATTAACATTTAAATTGAAAATAAGCTAGAAAAAAAGTGTTTCTGGTTTTATTCTCCTGCCAATGGCCTCTCTCTACAAAAATACCAAATCTGGAAATGAAGACATGTTACATAAAACACTTGTGTTTTTTAAATTAAGTATGCTACATCAGCTCAGGCCAAACTGAATGACTGCAGTTATGCTGGGACAGAGCTAAGTCTGAACTTAAATACATTTCTAACATCCCTTGCTGCTTACTTCACTGAGCTCTCTCTGAATGTTGCTTCATTAGATGGTGGCCTAGCAAGTCGCCTACAGCAGATTCGAGTGCATGTGTTAGAAAGCAAGCTCTGTGAATACACTTACTATTCTGCGCATCCAGGAGGGATCACAGAGAATATGATCTGTGCTGGCTTTGCCACATCTGGAGAGAAAGATTTCTGTCAGGTGAGAGGATTTTGGTTTTATACAGGAAGGCAGAAAATTGCCGTCTGCTGGAGAGTGTCTGTAGACTTGAGAAACCACTGCCGAAGCCACCAACTTGTCCTGTACTTCAAATATCACATCCCTGCGTGAAGACCAGTGGGGCAACAGAAAGCATAAGTGAATTAACCCAAATTTGCTGAGATGTCAGAGAGTGGCCAGAAGCAGCTGTAAAGTGAGAAAGGAGAAAGGACAGTGGCTTCATAGAGGAGCTGGCAAGAAGGTAGGAAATGGCAGAGCCTGTAAGCAAGACTGAGCGAGGTAAGATGTGTTCAGGTATAATTAAGGCTTTGAGAAAAGGAAAAAGAGATAAAAGTTCTAAACTTATGTGTCCTACTTATGACTTAAAAGTTTTATCAGGTTAAAATATCAGTAATCTCTGTACTCTCTTAATTTTCCACCACAAATTAAAATAATCACAAAGATGTCCATTGGATAAGCTTGATAATGGCAAGTTCCTAATCAACTAAGAACAAGAATAGGAATGAACAGATTGTAGAATGCCAGCTTTAATGTTCACAAAGTCAATGGAGGAATGTGTCTGTAGATATACAAACAAGCTAAGAGTTTCTAACACTCTGTGTGCCTACCTCTCATCCCTGGTTTGAATTTGGGGCTACCCACCTAAGGGAAAGTTTGGGTCCATAGGGCAGCCAAAACCCCCCAGACTTATCACTCCCATTGTTCTGGGGTAGAGAGGAAAGAAAGAACAAATCTTTAGTTTCTGCAGCTTTTCAGTAGTTTTCCCCATCAATCAGTCAAGAAACATGAAGCAATAAGTTTCACCTCCATGAGGGAGAAACAACTGTGCATTAATCTAGGTGGATGTCCTTCCATGTGCAAATATGAGAGAGTGGATGATGTCCCCTTTAACACGGAATATAAGTTTATTGTCATTAACCCCTTACTTTTATGGTGTCAAGCATTGCTTACATTCTGTTTTAATTTTGAATATCTTCATCTGCATTCCACAGAAGCAGTCCCTGAGACAAGGATTCAGGTACAATGGTGTGTTTTAGGAATCATAGATAATCACTGGTAGGAAAGAGAGGAGAGGGTACAGGGAAAGGAAGGCAGCCCATCTATGATGCATTATTAAGCCGTCTGCAATAGAGAGAGCCTAAAGCCTAATCCTACAGGAAACTCAGGGCAGTGATGCCAAGTACACGTGTTCAATTTATCTATCTGAGGGGCGAGGGAGCTGGAATATTTAGGTACTTCCTTCCCTGGAGCCATAGTTTGAGGGCTGCTGTGGGAGGGGCAGTTAATCCCTTAGGATTTCCCATACTTTGGGGTTGCCTCATGGGTGAAGTTGAGAACAGGGAAGATCGTAGGCACAGAGCCAGCACATGGGCTGGAAGATCTGAGGAATATAGGAAGCCCACTCCTGCTGTCTGCTAGAGTACGTAAATGTTATCTGATAAAAATCACAAAAGTAGTCTGAACTAATGTGTTAATTCTTCCCTTTAGGCCATTGCAGGATTTGAGGGATGGCTTTTCTTTCTTCAACAAGAAAATCACAACTAAGTCTGTTGTCTTTTACATATTTGACAGCAACTAACATTACAGTGTGAACTGTTTGTGTGGAAAGAAAAAGAATTTGAGACGGTCTTAGAAAGGTTGATGTCAGGGGCGACCTCAATATCATGATCTCAGTTGTCACTTATTTTCTCAGTTATATACAACTGTCACTTTGGCTGCAGCATGACCAAATTTACTGCCCATATATGGGAAGAAAACTAGAAGCTGAGATTCTAATTAATATGACTAGCTTTCTATTACAAAGTACAGTGAGTTACTAAAAGGGTGACTTTAGAAACTTGCTTTGGTAAAATAGTCTCTAATATTTCTGTCAGGTAATTGATGTTTATTCTCTTGTGTATCCTTATAGATAATAGACCTGCTAATGTGCCTTCTCATTCAGGAAGATAGGCATAATAATACTGGAATGCAGAGACGTGCTGTTTTCAGATATGCAATGTAGTATCCTGCTGTTCTTTGCTAACTGGATTTCAGATTTTTTATTCTAGTTTCTTTTTTAATTTTTAATTGTGTGGGTATATAGTAGGTGTATATATTTTTAGGGGACATGAGATTTTCATACAGCTGTACAAGGAATAATAATCACATAGAGTAAATGGTGTATCTATCATTTGTATTACAGACAATCTAATCATACTATTTTATTTTTAAATGTGCAATTAAATTATTATAGGCTATAGTTACCCTGTTTTGCTATCAAATACTAGATTTTTTAATTCTATTTTTTTTTTGTACCCATTAATCATCCCCACTTCCCTATACTCACCCACTACACTTCCCAGCCTCTGGAAACCGTTTTTCTCTACTCTATCTCCATGAGCTATATTGTTTTGGTTTTTGGCTCCCACAAGTAAATGACAACATGCGAAGTTTGTCTTTCTGTGCTGGGCTTATTTCACTTCACATAATGACCTCCAGCTCCATCCATGTTGTTGGAAATGATAGGATCTCATTCTTGTGTATGGCTGAGTAGTACTCCATTGTGTATATGCACCACATTTTCTTTATGTTTATCTGTTGAGGGATACTTAGGCTGCTTCCAAATCTTGGCCATTGTGAATAGTGTTGCAATAAACATGGGGGTGCAGATAACTTTTCAGTATCTTGATTTCCTTTCTCTTGGGCATATACCTAGGAGTAGGATTTTTATATCAATTGTATTTATATTAGTTTTTGAGGAAAGTCCACATTATTCTCTATAGTGGTTGTACTAATTGACATTCTCATCAATAGTATACATGGGTTCTCTTTTTTTCCATATCCTTGTAAGCATTTGTTATTGCCTGTCTTTTGGATAAAAGCCATTTTAACTGAGGTGAGAAAATATCTCAACATAGTTTTGATTTGCATTTCTCCCATCAATGATGTTGGGCATCTTTTCATATACCGGTTTGCAATTTGTACGTCTTCTTTTGAGAAATGTCTATTCAGAGTTTTCGTCCATTATTAAAATCAGATTATTAGATTTTTCTATAGAGTTATTTGAGCTCCTTATGTATTCTGGTTATTAATCTCTTGTCAGATGAGTACTTTGTAGAAAGGTTGTCTTTTGGCTTTGTTTCCTTTGCAGTGCAGAAGCTTTTTAACATATGATCCCATTTGTCCATTTTTTCTTTGGTTACCTGTGCCTGTGAGGTATTACTAAAGAAATCTTTGTCCAGTTCAATGTCCTGGAAAGTTTCCTCAATGTTTTCTTTTATTAGTTTCATAGTTTGAGGTATTGAGATTTGAGCCTTTAATCCATTTTGATTTGATTTTTGCAAATGGTGAGAAATAGGGGTCTACTTTCATTCTTCTGTATAAGGATATCTGGTTTTCCCAGCACCATTTATCGAAGCAACTGTCCTTTCCCCAGTGTATTTTTTGGTACCTTTGACAAAAAATGAGTTCACTGTAGATGTATGGATTTATTTCTGGGTTTTCTACTCTATTCCACTGTTCTACAAGTCTGTTTTTATGCCAGTACTGTACTGTTTTGATTACTATAGCTTTGTAGTATAATTTGAAGTCAGGTAATGTGATTCTTCCAATTCTGTTCTTTTTGTTCAGGACGGCTTGGCTATTCTGAGTCTTTTGTAGTCCCATATAAATTTTATGATTATTTTTTCTATTTCTTTGAAGAATGTCATTACTATTTTTTCTAACTTCTTTTCATCTGCAAAGTCATAGATCTCTGTCTTCACAGAATAATATATGTCCTCAGCCACATTGGTTGCTTTCTAACCTCCCAACTGGCCATGTCTTGACTGTCTTAGAGACTTAGCCAAGATATATCTTTTTCATAAAATGTTCATCCAGGTTTTTGGAAAGCTGGCTCCTTGTCATCCTTTATGTATAGCTCAACTGTTATTGAAACTGCATACACATACATGCACATGTAAGACAAATATATACCTACCTTTATTCTCTACATTCACTCGAGTATTTCCTTTATAGCTACTGTTACCATCTTATTTGCTTATACTCTGTCTTACTTGGTATGTCTGGCTCACAGCATTGAATAATTTTTTAATAAAGAATGTTCATTTGTTTGCTGAATATTTACCATGGGCTACACCATATGATAAGCAAAAAAAGATAAACTAGACAGGTTTCCTGTATTATGGAATGTTTGTAATTGCCTGAAAAATTATGTATTGGCTATATGTTGGTACTGAAAAAAATCAATGATTAAAAAAAAACAAAACACTTGCCTAGATATATCAGACAATTGTCCAACTGGAAGGGGGTCTTAAGTATAATCATTATGTGAAAAAATTAGGCCCAGAAGAAATGATAATTGTTCTACATTACAGAATTTAACAGAAGAAACCTTAAGTTGGGAAAAAGGAAATACAGTAATGTGTTTTTTTCCCAACTTAAGGTTTCTTCTGTTAAATTCTTTATATAAAAAGATGTTTCAAATGTGTTCCATCAACATAATTTATCTTATAAGAAGACAAAGGACTTAGTTTGGTCCTAAATACATTTGTGTCCATTCACTTCCTACAAAAGACCTGATTAAAAATTGGAAAGCCTACTCTAATAAAAAATGAAAATCCTATGTATTAAGGCTTGCTTTGATGCATATAGTTTATAAAATTTCACTGTAAATTAAGCAAACCTTTACTTAGCATGTATTATGGGCTGCATATTGTGGTAGGTTTCCTGGGATACAAAGTTGAATAAGATGCAGTGCTTACCGTCAAATGGGCACATGTTGTAAATAGTGTAATAGACATAAACAAGGGCACGTATTGTGCTGCCATTGATTTTCACATTGAACCTGAAGAGACATGTAGATGTTAGTGCTAATTAATAGATGATTATGTGTGATGTACATAGTTTGGTTCCCTTAATAACAGTACCACTGTTTTCTTCAAAATGTCTTTCTGCTTATAATTTGTCCATTTAAACAATGCAAATATTGAGAGGAATATTAAAGAGAGACACTTCCATCTACATGAACTTCTTGGTGCTTCTGGGTAGTATTTTACCTTTTGAAATGTGTTTAATCATGACCAAAGCAGCCGTATCTAAGACCATAAAAATAATTAACTGTAAGTTAAATTTCTATGTGTCTTTCCTTGAATTCAGTAATTGTATAAGCTAACTACTAGCCTTGTTTAAGGTAGCTCCATTAATAAACATTTATCAGTTTGGTGGAAAGGAAAGAACACTGAATTTTAGCAGGCGACATGAGCTCAGATTTTACTGCTACTACTACCTGTGTGTGTGAAATAGGACAGATCATTTATTTCTCTAATTAAAATTTTTCACATCTAATATCCTAGGAAGTTAAATTAGCTTGGCCTTTAAATTTTTTGATATTGTGTAACTTTGGAATCTGCAAGTAAGCAAAAATAAAATTGTAATACTAGAATTAAAATACTTTTTTTGAAAGATAGTTTTGCTCTGTCACTCAGGCTGTAGTGAAGTGGTGTCATCTCAACTCACCACAACTTCCACCTCCCAGGTTCAAGTGATTCTCCTGCCTCCACCTCCTGAGTAGCTGGACAGGTGCACCACCATGCCCGACTAATTTTTGTATTTTTAGTAGAGATGGGGTTTCACCATGTTGGTCAGGCTGATCTCAAACTACTGACCTCATGATCCACCCACCTCAGCCTCCCAAAGTTCTGGGATTACAAGGGTGAGCCACCTCACCAAGCCATGAATATCTTTTAGTAGATATAAATCAACGCCTAAGTTTTTTTCACCTCACCATCAACACCCTAGTTTCTCTGTATGTCGTAACTCTACACTTTGATCTGAATAGATTGTGTCAAGAGTGACCAGTGATAGGGAAAACATTACCTATAGAGTTTATCACCCAATGATCCTAACCCAACTTTCAAAAAGAAAAAAAAAAAAAAAGTCCATTTATTGTGTTGAATTCATTTGAGCACTGTGCAGTTTTCTAATTAAATTTTTATTTTAAAAAGATGTAGCTTGAAATCTTAAATATTACAGTTTTACTAATTGATATCATTTAAAGACTATGTCCTTCTGACGGGGCTGGGAAGACTTAGTAATTGTTTTCTCATTTTGTGAATTAGGCTTTTTCTTCACCCTGGAATCCAATTACCATCTGATTGTTCATAAATTTTGTTTCCTTTTGCAAAACAGTGAATACATATTATGTAAAGATGCAAATTGACAAAGACCAAATCTTTAAGAAATTAAACACATTACAAATATATTATTAATCATTCTTCTTCTAAAAATTAAAAGCAGGAGCTTTAGATTAAAGCAGTTTTCTGGAACATGTTTTCTTTGTGTTTCAGGGAGACTCTGGTGGACCACTAGTATGTAGACATGAAAATGGTCCCTTTGTCCTCTATGGCATTGTCAGCTGGGGAGCTGGCTGTGTCCAGCCATGGAAACCGGGTATATTTGCCAGGGTGATGGTCTTCTTGGACTGGATCCAATCCAAAATCAATGGTAAGTTGTTTTCAGATGTTACTAAAACAATACCTCTTTCTTTAGAGTGGGTTTGGGAACAGTAAGTGTGGTATAAATTAACATGAAAGAGAAAACCATAGAGTAGAATTTCATTTAGTTACTAAACACACTAAAATGCAAGATTCTGCAAAATAAGTTCTCTCATTTGTAGAGTTAGAGTAAAACCGACTTTTCCCAAAGCTGCCTTAATCCTGGATTTCTTTTGGTAGTGGCTGTTTTGATGCCAACTATATTTTGTCCTCAGGCTTTCATCTTTATTTTTAACATGTTCTCCCAAAATACAGGTCCTGCTTCACTTCAGACAAATAAGTGCAAAACCTTAAAACAACAATTGCCACTGCCCACACCTTCGCCAGACAGTGTATCTTGGCCAGGTAATAAATGTTTACATTATCCCATTAATACTTTCAGCAAGAATTTGGCAAAAAGCATCATCTATGTAGCTTTGCTAAATTTTTTGTGGAACCGTATAATCTCTGTGTTTTCCTTCTGGTTGGTAGTTTTTGCTGAAAGTGGGGGTAATTATTATGATTGCTGGAGATCATTTCCAACCCAAAGCTAGACCTGTTGCAGATTTTTTAAAAGTCTTGTGGTTGTGAACAAGTGCTTGAAAATTGGAGAATTATACAATTATTTTAAACTCTGAGCTGTTTACTTCTACTTGAACCAAAGTCCTTCTATATGCAAGTATCTTGCTAGGTAAAGAATCTGGGCATAAGATGACCAAGACTGGCATCAGCATTAGAATTTTTCTTAATTCTTCCACAGTTCCCACTGTTTGTTGGATAATAGGATTTGATTTTTAGTCTAAACAGCAATTGGAGGATTAGAAATCTGTAATAGACTTGTAGAAAGATAGAAGTTCTATTTTATTTATTCATTCCTTTATTTAGAGACAGAGTCCTGCTCTGTTGCCCAGGCTGGAGTGCAGTGGTGCAATCTCAGCTCACAGCAACTTCTGTCTCCTGGGTTCAAGCAATTCTCCTGCCTCAGCCTCCAGAGTAGCTGGGATTACAGGTGCCCACCACGATGCTGGCTAATTTTCTGTATTTTTAGTAGAGACAGGGTTTTACTGTGTTAGCCAGGATGGCCTCCATCTCCTGACCTCATGATCTGCCTGCCTTGGCCTCCCAAAGTGCTGAGATTACAGGCATGAGCCACCACACCTGGCTGGAAGTTCTATTTTATTAGCACTCTTGGTTTCCAAATAGTCAGTCTTTCCTTTGTTACCCACGTTTTCCCCTTCCCCGATATACTCAACCATAGTAAACAACTAGGAAGAGTTGAAAGAAAATGTAAGATAAAAAGTAGAATTGCAAGAGTGATGACTTTGAGTAGAGGAAAGAAGATGGGATCTAGTGCCCAAAAGGAGGGGATGGTCTTAGATAGGAGCAAAGTACATTTCATCTGTGGTTAATGGATGGAAGGCAGGATCTTGAAGTACCCATGCAGGTTTTCTCTTCTGATTGATTGCCTTTTTTTTTTTTTTTTTTTTTAGCAGATGAAAGGAGGGGTTGTGCAAGAAAGTTTGATTTTTAGGAGAAAAAAGGATGAAATGTTTTTCTAGAAAATGCCATAGTGAATAGAAAGATATAGTAGGATTGCTGGGGAGCATAAAGGCCCCCTGAGATGAATGATCATAAATTGAGAGAAGAAAACAGAACGCCTCCAGTTAGCTTAGTTGTATATTTTCCTCTGGAGACACAGAGGTACAGAGTAGGTGGAGCATGGATTTAATCAAAGTGGAGTGCTCCCCAGTATGTGAGGGTAACAAGGGAATTCAAAGTGTATGTGAAGAAGTGGTTGAAATGATGGATCATTGGAATTTAGGATAGGTAAGAAGTGAAATAATGATGAGAGATTTGTTTGGGACAAAGGTAAGGTGGTAGAATAGGTAAATTATGGTCCCAAAAGGTGAAAGGGGTATTAAGGGAGGCTGAAAAGATGGAAGATTGTGGTTGGAGAAAATGGTTCCTGAAACTGAGATTACAGAAGGCTTCGAGTTATTGCTATTGATCAAGTGTTTAAGGGCGGACCATAAGGATAAGTGTCTGAGGTCAGGTGCAAGACAAGATCATTGGAGGAAAGTTGAGGAGCTGGAAACTTCAGTGCTGGAATCATCATGTGTATAGTGATTGAAATCAGAAAGAACTATGACAAAAGTGTTGGAGAAAATGACTGCTAAAACCTTCCAGGAATGATGAGTGGATGAAGGACCATTTGTCTGGCAACACGAGTCAAAGAGTAAAAGATATGTAGAGTAGGTTAACAGTAAATCTGGACTTGGGATTGAGACAGAGAGTGGACTTGGGTCCAAGATCCTAAAAACTATTGATTTCAATGGACTGAGTTAAATGAATGAATTCAGTGAGTGCCTAAATAGGTTAATCCATGTAATGCACTTAGAACAAGGAGGGTCTGATCCAAGATAAGGGTTCATAAATGGTGATGACAGTGCCATCTAATGTATTTTTTGAATGATCTCAATCAGGCTGTTAGAAAATGAACATTGTGGCCGGGTGCAGTGGTTCATGCCTGTAATCCCAGCACTTTGGGAGACCAAGGCTGGCAGGTCCCAAGGTCAGGAGTCTGAGACCAGTCTGGCCAATACAGTGAAACCCTGTCTCTACTAAAAATACACAAAAATAGCTGAGTGTAGTGGTGTGTGCCTGTAAGCCCAGCTACATGGGAGGCTGAGGCAGGAGAATCACATGAACCCAGGAGGCAGAGGCTGCAGTGAGCCGAGATCGCATCATTGCACTCCACCCTGGATGACAGTGCGAGTCCATCTCAAAGAAATTGTTTCTCCTTTATATACATTCAGAAATAGTTACGCATGCCAAATAACTTTGAAAGTTTTATATATGAAAGGGTCTTCTTTTGTTTTCATTCTATGATTATTTTAGGTGACAGATTGTTAGGACCATGCCACATTTAACACCCACCCACTCCTGCCGCTTACTTTTTACACTGGAGAATTAATGAATCTTGGCAATGCTTTCTTCAGATTGTTACTCCCATTTATAAAAAGTCTTGACTTGTTGGTAATTCATGGCTCTATGTGATTTCCAGTCAGATTTGTCACAGAGGATTCCTATAGAGAGGGAGAAAAACTAAAAAGATTAGAAAGACAGGTTGGGGCCAGGTGGAAAGATCTTGCAAGCTGGACTATGTTAGTTGCTTTCAGCAGGAAAACAACTTGATTTTTTTGTTTTATACACCATTCCCAGATGGTAGGGCATAGTGAGAGAAGATTATAGACTGAAAGATCATTTAGTTTAGTTTACTATTACATCAAAACAGTAAATATCTGATTACATTCTTGTAGCCATATAAAAAAGAGGACTAACAAAGAAATGGCAGAGAACCCAACAATGGAATAGAATGCTAAAGTTTTGTAGCACTTCATTTCCCTTATTCCACTTTTCACTTCTCCTGTTAATAAAAGCATGTTTACGTACCTCCTCCTCAGTTACTGTATTAATTCCTCTAGGACAGACCATGCATAGTAATGTATGTATTCACTAATACATACATTAAAATATGAACATAGAATATTTCTTTTTAATTTCTCAGAAAGTTTTTGTCAAAGCAATAGACATAAGGAAGAAGAGAGAGTTACAGAGGAAGCCCAGATGAGGACGTAAGAGAAGATGGTTGCTGAGTCAGTGGGTCAGGAAAAAACTGGCATCCAAACTGCAGCAGGTGTCATGAAGGTCCAAAAGGGGCCTTAGACTTAGCAAGCTGAAGAAGTGAGACATCTCAATATATCCAGCAAATGATCTTTTTCATGACCTCAGTCACAAGTTCAAATGAATGTAATCATTTGCCCCAGCAAGCTCAGCTAATTTAGTGAAGCTTTTAGGACAGGTCTTCAGATGCATCGCAAAGAAGGAAAGAAATGAAAACCTGCTGGGAACTGTGTATCTTCTAAGAAACTTAAAAAATTCATTAAAAATTAATTTAAAATAATTGGGATATAAATTCTACCCCTATAATATATTACTTCAAGAAAATAAGGCACATTAAATGGAATTTTTTTAACAGAATAATTTGTAACTGACAGAAACAAAGTCTCAACTTTCTTCTTGCAAGCCTAGGTTTTTCAGTCTTATGACAGAAGTTTTTTACTTTGCCTTGTTTATGTTGGTGCCTGGTGTCTATGTGTTCTGAATTGCAGGTTGTTGCTCTGAAGCAGACCTAGAAAAGCTCAGAGGATTTTTTCCCATTCCACAATATCCACTGAATTACAGCGGAAGACTGGAATGTTCTTGGGTGCTCCGAGTTTCACCAAGCAATATAGCAAAATTTACCATTGAGTATCTGTCACTCCTGGGGTCTCCTGTGTGTCGAAACTCAGTTCTAATTATTTCTGAAGACCAACCCAGGAAGAGAAAGATGGCAGGTAATCCTTCCTGACATATAAACTTGGTGCTAGGAGTCTTGTCCATGTAGGCAGCTTATGATCAGGAGTGAGTCTGACTTGGTAATAATGCCACCAAGATGTTGATCCATGTAATAGGAATGCTTTTTCCTTGCAAGCAACCTTAACATTTTCTTCTTTTAAAAAATTATACTTTAAGTTCTGGGATACATGTGCGAAATGTGCAAGTATTTCTCCTAATGTTATCCCTCCCAAAGTCCTCATGTTCTCATTGTTCAACTCCCACTTATGAGTGAGAACATGAGGTGTTTTGTTTTCTGTTCCTGTGTTAGTTTGCTGAGAATGATGATTTCCAGCTTCATTCATGTCCCTGCAAAGGACATAAACTCATCCTTTTTTATGGCTTCAGAGTATTCCATGGTGTATATGTGCCACACTTTCTTTTTCCAGTCTATCATCAATGGACATTTGGGTTGGTTCCAAGTCCAAGTCTTTGCTACTGTAAATAGTGCTGCAATAAACATGTGTGCATTGTCTTTATAGTAGAATGATTTATAATCCTTTGGGTATATACTTAGTAATGGGATTGCTGGGCCAAATGGTATTTCTAGTTCTAGATCCTTGAGGAATTACCACATTGTCTTCCACAATGTTGAACTAATTTACACTCCCACCAACAGTGTCCTGCTTCTCCACATCCTCTCTAGTATCTGTTGTTTCCTAACTTTTTAATGATCGCCATTCTAACTGGCATGAGATGGCATCTTGTTGTGGTTTTAATTTGCATTTCTCTAATGACCAATCATGATGAGCTTTTTTTCATGTTTGTTGTTCACATAAATGTCTTCTGTTCATATCCTTCAACCACTTTTTGATGGGGTTGTTTTTTCTTGTAAATTTATATTAAGTTCCTTTTAGATTCTGGATATTAGTCCTTTGTCTGATGGTTAGATTGCAAAAATTTTCTCTCATTCTGTAGGTTGCCTATTCACTCTGATGATAGTTTCTTTTGCTGTGCAGAAGCTTTTTAATTTAATTAGATCCCATCAGTCTATTTTGGCTTTTGTTGCCACTGCTTTTGGTATTTTAGTTATGAAATCTTTGCCCATGCCTATGTCCTGAATGGTATTGCCTAGGTTTTCTTCTAGGGTTTCTATGCCTCCAGCTTTGTTCTTCTAGCTTAGGATTGTCTTGGCTATCCAGGCTCTTTTTTCACGAGCATTCCTATACACCAATAACAGACAAACAGCCAGCCAAATCATGAATGAACTCCCATTCACAATTGTACAATCTAATTTAGACCACAGTGACATGATTAATTAGCCTATCTGCTTGGCACATATTCCCCCTAGAATCGGATCACCTCCTTCATCCCCCTTGATTAAAACTGCTCCAGGTCTTCTTGCACCTGGAATAAAATTCACACTCCCTGGAAGAGTCCTTCTCCATCAGCTCATGGCTCCCAATACGTCTCATTCTTACCTTAGGGCCATTGTCTGTCTATTTCCAGCACTTCAAAGAGCTCTTTCTCATCCTCGTGCTTCATGTTCTTCAATTATTGATAGAATGTTACCTTCTTAATGAAACCAACCATGACTGATGTAAGTTGCATCACACCCCTGCTTCCATACCTCTCATTTCCCTTTACTTAGAGCAGTTATCTTCTTCTAACACTGGGGTCTCCAACCCAGTACCAACTTATGGCCTATTAGGAACTCAGACGCCCGTGAGCAACGGACAAGCATTATCACCTGAACTTTGCCTCCTGTTAGTGGCAGCATTAGGTTCTCATAGGAATGTGAACTGCACATGCAAGGGATGTAGGATATGTGCTCCTTATGAGAATCTAATGCCTGATGATCTGAGATGGAACAGTTTCATCCCAAAACCATCCCTCCCACTGTTTGTGGAAAAATAGTCTCACACAAACCCGGTTCCTGGTGCCAAAAAGTTTGGGATCCTGGGTTAAAAGGTTAGAATCTAACACATTGTGAGTTTCATGAGAGCCGTAACTTTTGCCTGTTTATATCAAGAAGCCCTGGTGCCTAGCGCATGCCTGACATATTGAAGACACTTCATAAATAAGTGAACAAGAGAATAGTCACCTCCTCAAAGAGGGCTCTTCAGTCCAAAGTAGCATCTTCCATTCCTTCCCACAGTCATTGTCTGTTACATTGGCTTTCATTTCATCAGTAGTTTTGATCTCTCTGTGAAACCATCTTCATTTACCTAAAATGAAAGCTTCGTGAGAGCAGAGACCTTGCCAGCTGTTCCTTTCTCTATATTTCAAAATGAGGTCAACACCTAAGAACTTGGAATATTTTCTTTTTCATACATTTATGCTGAGTTTTTTTGTGTAAAGTTTCGTTAAATTACTCTTCAGAAAGGCTATCTTAATTTTCACTACCATTAGCAGTGCCTAGGATCGTCTTTCACCATGCCCAAAACCTAATATGTCAATTTAATAGGGAATTTTCCTTTAAAAATAATCATTAATGGAGATAATTTCTTTTTTGCTTTTGTTTTTATTTGTCTTAAGATATTGTCTCCCTAGGTTGCCCAGGCTGGCCTTGAATTCCTAGGCTCAAAAGATTCTCCTAGCTCAGTTTCCCAAATACCTGGCATGTGTTACTGTGTACAGCTTGTTTTTTAAAAAAATTGCCATTATCTTTTATTTTTAAAATTTGAGTATTCTTTTTATTGCTTTATAATACAAAGATGTTTTTCCTTTATCACATTTATTCTTAATGTGTATTCTTAATGTTGTCATTATGTTTATCCTTAATGCTTTTCTTTATCATTAACTTGTTCTTTTTTAAATTTTTTGAGACAGAGCCTCACTTTGTCACTGGGTGCCAGGATGGAGTACAGTGGCACAATCTCGTCTCACTGCAACCTCGGCCTCCCGAGTAGCTGGGACTACAGGTGCATGCCACCAAGCCCAGCTAACTTTTGTATTTTTTTGGTAGAGACGGGGTTTCACCATGTTGGCCAGGATGGCCTCGATCTCTTGACCTTGTGATCCGCCCACCTCGGCCTCCCAAAGTGCTGGGATTACAGGCTTGAGCCACTGTGCCCGGCCCATTAATTTGTTTTTAATGCTTATTCTTGGTATTGTCATTTGCCTTTGTGTTATTATATTAATATACAATTTTTAATTTGTTTAAATCTATCCATACATGTCTTTGATCTTTGAATTTTATCTCGTTGCTTTCATGCTTAAAAATTCATTCTCCATTCTGAGGTCAGAACCTTTAATTTAAAAAAGACTTTTAAAATCATGCTGAAATATATTTTTTCATATGGTAAAGTGACTCTATACCTGCCTCCTTTAAAAAAATAAGTCTTTTTTTTCTCCATTGATAGCACTACTTCTATAATACCCTATATTCATATACAGAGAGACCCATTTCCTGGGGAAACTTGACTTTATCATTATTACCTATTGAAAACCATGCTTGACTTCATTGTAGATTAACTGAGGAAGCCCTATAATTTTCCAACCTAAGAATTCTTTAATTTTAGAAACAGCTTGAACCTTGTGGAATTGCTCTGTTCCTTCAGATTATGGCTAGCAGAACATCAAGACTGTAATGGAAATATTATCCTTTACTTAAGTTGTATAGCATTCTTTCCTGTAAAAGGCTGTTTCTCCCTGTTAAATGTAGCAATTCATTTAAGTTACATTCACTTTTATTTGCTACAAATAAATATTAGGTCATTCTTCACATAGCATTTCACCACCATATACTTTAAAATGCCAATGAATGCTTTTTCTTTTCTCTTTCTTGGCTCTAATCACTCCCTCCTTTCATCCCTACAAATATTTGTGAAATACCTACTATGGGCCAGGGACTGAGTCATCTTGGTTCTGATGATGCAGTAATGAAAAAAACTTTTCTGCCCTTATCAAGCTTATATTCTAGCAGGGAAAAGATACATAATAAGTTAAATCTATGCTATCTTAGATGGAAGAACTAAGGAGAAAAGAAGTACCTCAGATATAGGTGCCACATAGTTGTATGTAGTACAATCAGCAGATACCTTTCTGAGCAGGTGACATTTAAATAAATATTACAAAATGACACTGAATTATTCTTAATGTAGAAGAGTTTGATCCTAAGAAATTCACAGGTTCTTTCCACACATGCTTAATCATCCCTCTGAATCATTTTAGAATTATGATTATAATTTTCCCCTCTATCTTTTTGACTTAGGTTCTCAAAGCAATCAATAGAAGACTGATTATAGGGAAATAATAAATTTCCAGGGAGACATTTTTTCCATCATAGATCTTCATGGTGAGATATTTTTAATAAGTAGGTTACTTTTCTAGGAGAAAAAGGGCACAACGGTCATTTTAAAGATAAAATAATTTACTACCTACTGTACTTCAGGAAGTGCTGTAACATAGTAGATTATGATGGATATCAGATACATGGACCCAAGGTGAAGATCCTAGCTTCCCACCCCACTAATTTGTCACTTTGGGTGAGTCACTTGTGTTCTGGAGTCCTGTTTCCTCATTTTACAGAATAGAATCAATTCCTAACTTGTGGGTTAAATTAAGTGTGCTGCCTAAAATATAGAAACTGCTCTAAATTTTGCATTCTTATTTTTTACTAGAGTTTACCTTTTTAACCTAGGTGGATTATGTGGGAGACGACTTTACCCAATGACTTTCACGAGTCCTGGACCGCTGGTGAGGGTGACATTCCATTCCCTTGCACAAGGTACATTTGGCTTAAGCTGTATTGTCTTCAAAGTCCTAGGTATTTGGTTATTTTATAAACTTGTAAAGGTTAAAATAAATACTACTGTATTTAGGACTATTTTAAATGCATACAGCATTTTGAAAGAAATTATGTTTCTGTGGGGAAATAAGTATATGTTTGAAAGCAAAATCTAAGTCACCTAATATTTGATCAGGTTCAAAAGGGAAACTGCTCAATGGATAACTTGATTGAATTGTATATGATTTCTGAAAATGGCCAAGATAACATTGGTTGCAAGATAACTTTTGGCTGTGGTTGTGATTTTATACCACAAGGAATGTTTTCTGCAGCAGTAATTCTCATGGCTCAGAAGATTAGGATAAGTTTTGAAAACCACACAAATATTAGATTCTAGCACTATAAGTGTAAATGATATAATTCAGAATTGTCAGATTGAACTCTGGAACATGTAATTAGTTTTTTTTTTTTATTCTTGATGTAGAAAACTGAAAGCTAGTTTTCCCCCTTGACACCTAAAAGCATTGCTAATAATGTATTTCCCTAGACCTGTGTATACTGTACACTTGGGAAAAGTTAAATGCGTAATAAAATATTTGTATCATATGAAAATTTTCTCTTGGAAGAATATATTAAGAATGTTGCCTTCAGATGGAATTAGGCAGTTAACAGGTATTCTCTATAGTTGTTCCCTATAATCTTTCATAGAACCAAGGCTATGTCAGAGGTCATTCTGGGAGATGTGCTTGTTTCCTACATCTTTTGAATATTTAAGATGGAGGGATTTTTCAGTGAAACGAACCACCTCCCAATAATTACTTGCTTTCCTAGGACAATTAGGGAATACAGCTGCGTATTTGATCTGAAAAGGCTATAGGAAGCCTGTTTAAAAATTGGTTTTCAGGGGGACAATACAAGATGGCCGAAAGGAACAGCTCTGGAGTGCAGTTACCAGCAAGAATAATGAAGAAGGTGACTGCCTACCACATTTCCAAACAAATTTTCACTGCCCATAGACCAGGAGATTCCGAGCCAAAAAGCGCCACATGTTTTCAGCATGGCAGTTTCAGCTGCTGCCAGCTTGGTGCACAGAAAGTCACACAAATCTGGGCAGCCATTTCAGCTGGCACCTCGAATACCTGTTGAACTGAAAGGGAGGGGGCAGAGACAGGGAACCAGGCAATCTGGCTCCGCAGGTACCACCCCCACAAAACAAGCAATCTGAAATGCTCTGGATTAAGAATTTTCCAGCAAGCTCAGCTGGACCCATGAGGGTCCAGCTCAGTGTGGGGGAAAGGCGACCACCACTACCAAGACAGTTCACACAGCAGCTGGGCAGACCCTGTGGCAGCTCAGCAACACCTCTGCTGGCAGACTAACTAGACTACTCCATGTGGGGCAGGGCATCTATGAAAAAAGGCAGCAGCATGATAGGAACTTATAAATAAAGCTGACCTTCCTAGGACAGAGCACTGGGAAAAGAGGCGGTTATGAGTTCCACTGCAGCAGACTTAAAAGCACCTGCCCAGCATCTCTGCATAGAACAATGGAGATCCCAGCACAGTACTTGAGCTCCTATAAGGGACAGACTGTCCCCTCAAGCAGCTCCCTGACCCCCATATACCCAAAGGGACACCTCATAAAGGAGAGCTCAGGCTGACATCTGGCAGGTACCCTTCTGGGACAAAGATAACAGAAGAAGAAACTAGCAGCAACCCATACTGTTCTGCAGCCCCAACAGGTGATCCCCAGGTAAGCAGGGTCTGGAGTGGACCTCCAGCCATCCTTCAGCAGAGGGGCCTGTTAGAAGGAAAACTAAGAAACAGAAAAAAATAACTTCATCATCAACTAAAAGGAAGTCCACTCAGAGACTGCATCTGAAAGTCAACAACTACCAAGACCACAGGTAGATAAAGCCACTAAGATGGGAAGAAACTAGGGCAAAAAGGATGAAAACACCACAAACCAGAAGGCCTGCCCTCCTCCAAGGGATCACAACTCCTCACCAGCTAGGAATCAAAGATGGATGGAGAATGAATCTGATGAATTGAGAGAAACAGGCTTCAGAAGG